ACTTTGTGGCTTGTATCTACTTATAAATGTTTTTATTGCATCTTATTTCAAATATTTCATGCCTGTTTATGTTTACTCTTCATATAACTTTAAGCGTATTGCGCATTTATTCGTACATATACAATAGTATGATATATTTCATTATATAAATAAAACATTTTATTTTATAATATACACGTAACTAAACAAACAGGGAAAAATAATATAATACTTGAATTTCAGACATAATGGTTAATAACCATATTTTAAAAACCTAAACAGAGTAACATATAAATAGCTATAACTTCTATTATATCTTGTCTTCTGTAGTAATAAAGTACTAGTCAGTTCAACTTAATTATTAGCAATTTTCCGAGCTCATCCATCAGAAGTTATTTATTTTTTTATCACTTCGAAAACCAATATTAAACTTAAAAGTAATTATAGCGTGGTAAAATCGTATTCTGTGGATCACAGAACCACAAAACTTTCAACTAGTACAAATTAAATTTGTCGTGTACGTTATTATTACTCTTATTAAATTTAAATTGAATAAAAGAATTTAATAATATGACTTCAATTTCACAATACGCTTTATTACTTGATTACTATTTGAACTAAATGTTATTTCACATTAAACGAGCATCATGTCATATAAAAGTATTTGAAATATCAATACCAATATCATAATACCTAACTACCTAAGTAATCGATAATATTATAAGCGATATGGTTTGTTTCGTAGTTTTATATTATGGGAAACAAAAATGTATGACCGTAAACGCCGTTTACTGAACATTGAATACACAAATATTAAATAATAACAATTATTTTAATAAAAACAAGTCGACACCCATGTACCCATATAATATTAAGTAATTTGTATAATTGAAACCGCCATTCAGGGCAACCGTCTCTTGATAATAATCCTACATTTTCTAATGACAATGTCACCGCACTGAATTCTCGCCAGTGAATACCACTTCCTAAAGAAGGCCTAGCATAAAATAATATAAATATATTACATATTCACAAGTAGGTGTTATTATCGAGTATAAGACACCAGTAGATATTCTAATGAGTAATGACTAATAGTATCCATTTTCTCAACGATATCACATACTGTAGGCTCGTGAATTTATGGCCTATAATATACCACTTGTATTACAATATAATAATAATATATTATGTAGGTACCTATGTGTTGTAACTCTTGTCGTGTGCGCGTATTTAAATACAAGGATGGTCAGAACCCAACGTTGTAACGGTTAAGGTCAACTACTCGTCTAGCCCGCATTTTCATTACACATTTCCGCGCACACACACCGGTACCCTGTACAAAAATTGCCATTCGTTCCATACACATGATATTTATGCATGCGTACGCTACTGCGGCCCCCTCGTTTTTAGTTTCGTTTTGTTTGTTGTTGTTTTTTTTTTTTTTTTATCATTCCACACGACCCAGTTTGGGAGACGGTAAACGTGATATTTAAACGGGGGCTCAGTTGTCATTATACATGGAAATATTTAACGATAATATTATTATAATTTATAATATTATGACATATCGTATACGCTCTTCGCCTGTACGTATACCGTATTAACATTATTACATATATTCGTTTCAACGCCGCCACGCGTCATTGAAGAGAGATATTTTAATGCCATATTTAATTCAAAAATGTCTAAGACATCGCTTGATGTATAATATTATTTTATAATATACACGCTCGCCACACATAATAAATAGCGAAGCGTGTGCTGGAAAACGTTCAATTTTCCCTTCCCAAACGGGTCAAGTGCTTGAAATAATTTCCGGATGGTTAAACGCATAAACCCTCGCACCACCCTCACCACTGCCATCGCGGGCAAACGAAACGAAATACGCGCGACCGAATTTCAACGGAATTGATCTTTGCAAACACAAATCTAGAAAATGTAATCATGGTTCGTCTACATAAGGTTTGCAACGAATATTTATTATTGTAACTCGCGTTTGATCAGGACATTGCGCACTTAAAAAATATTCTACAATCACGCATTTATTTGATATGGTAACATGATTTACGTTATAGCTTATAACTTATAATTAATAATAATATGTTATTTTTATTAATTATCACGACACGCATGTTAATATATATGCCGCGTTTTTTGTTCAACCTAATGGTCAAGCTATTATTTAAGTTTTCCAATCTTCGATTATTTTATCATTAATATTAATAGTCTATAAAGCCGATTGCTTCATTAACCCAGTTCCCTTCGTTAACGTTCGCACTAACTTTTATGTTTTATAATGATTCGACTAAACGACCGAAATTCTAATACACGATATATTATATATACTATTATAGATACTCGATTAATTTTGTAAGTAACTAAATACCTTTTATTTAGATCTTTAGTGTACATTCTACGTAAAGTTTTATCTTAATATAGGCAAATCCCTGTCATCCGTACTAATCATTTTAAAATATCAAAAAAGCTCCAGTTGATAAATTGGTACAAACCATCACGTATTTACAGTCATTACAAAAGGTATTATGGCGACGTTAAACTTCAATTATATATCATTCAATTTTGAAATTATAATAAAAATTCTGTATTAACAACTAATAAGACATATGTACTAGACATTGTTTAGTAATAAATATCTCTAAGAATTTTATGTATTGAAAGGTGTTTTATAACATATATTCGAAAAATTCTAAGACTTATATAATAAAATAATGGATATTGTGAGCATATATAAATATAGTATACACTTATTAACAATCTAAAATTAATACGCAATCCTTTAAAACGCATTCAATTAAGCTAAAGTTTAATTTTTTTACTCTTTTTGCATTTATCCGATGCTTTTTACCCTAGTTCCATCGTTATAAATGATTGAGAAGAGATACATTTTGATTGATGTTAAAAGAAGTTTTCAGCTGTACGTTTTTATTATAATTATTATTATTATTATGCAAATAAAAAACTTAAGTATAATCTCCCAGAAATCATTGATTATTCAGTCAATTATAATTTCAGTAATTAAATCAATACGGGACATAATATGATAAATAATAATATACAAATATTTAACATATTATATATCCACAAATTAAAATATTATTCCTAACACTAATTTATTACAAATCTGAAATATTGAAATTTGTTTGTTGATTTGTGTTCTTTATCTATGTTTCTAACTACTTTATTAAGACGTTATCTATGTGTATAATGGTATATTATGTATATATAGCTGTACGTATAAACATATTATATAAGCAAAATATAAGCGTTTAAAATTACTTCAAGGTTAATGAAATTAAATCAAAACATTTCAATAACTGGCACTTTACTAGTATTTTAAATTGCACCTGATGTCATTTATAATACAAATATATTAGTTACTTTTAAATTAATAAAAAATAAATAAATTATGATATCAAATAAAATTATATATTATGGTATGAAATATATTATGTATGACACATAAATGGATTCATTTTTTTAATCAATATTAAATATAAAATAATCATAAAATTTGGTGCTAGGAAATAAAATTTAGATATTTATGCATACACTTAATGCCAACCAAAATACTGAATTTCTGTTTTATATTTATCAATATAAATATCTAGAAGTTTAAAAACTCCATTTTTGTTATATTATTCTATTCTCAGATTTTCATACTGCATTCATTTTTACACAAAAAAGAAATATATATATAAAATTATTTCATAGTAACTCGACATGTAATTCATTAAAAATTTAAAATATGCAAAGCTATTCAAAAAAATAGAAAATAAATAAACTTGATAGTAAACGTTATATTTAAGTTCATAAATCACCAAAATTCGATCAGGTGAAGATCTTAAAAAGGATGGATATTATTTTTATATATTTCTTTGCCCGAAGCATATATCTACAAAACCTATTCGACTATTTTTGAATTCACATAAAAATATATGATACTGTGAAAAACCTAAATATACAATAAATAATTTACAGAACTAATAATGTTATATTTCACATTTTTTTTTTCATAAATCCCTATTTCCATAATTAAAAAATTATAATATCACCTATCTTCTTAACTCGAAAATATTAATATTGTTAATTCAATACAATTTTATATCATTGTAAAAATGAATACTAGAAATATGAGATAATATCTAGGTACGTAGTACCCTTATAAGTTCACAACCAGTACATTGCTAAGTTAAGCTACATAAGTTATAATGGTTCCAACTAGGTGTATAATTTATTATTAATCCAAGTTTTCAAGTGATATTAAGAACTTGTGTTACGACTTTGTTGCTATAAAAGTATAGTAAATAGTATTCTAAATAGTAAAAGTTTATCTCATATCAACATTGTTTTACTGTAAATTTGAAATAATAATGTCTAGAAAATCCATTCAAGAAAAATCTAATAAAATATTTTTTTAATACTTTTCCCCCAGAATTATTGACGATTTAAAAGCAGTTTTTACTTAAAAATAAATATGCTTAATTTATAAAGTAGAAAACTTTAACCCACACAATTATACCTGTTTCATTGGTATTATAAAAAATAAAACATTTAACTTGCTATACAGAAAATTAACCACAGCGCGTGACGTTACTTAGCGTGTTTTATAATCTGGAATGTTTTTCTACAGTGTATTATGGTTTAAATAGAGAAGCACGAGGATTGATGGAGTGAAAAAAACGTTCCGCTTTGACATACCATTTTTTTTTTTTTATATATTCCATAAATTTACCCATCAATTTTAAAATCTGAATAATTCTTTAGTATACACATTATACTCGGTTGTAAATAAATAATAAAATATTACATTTTATCCCCTCGTTTTTAATGATTTTATTCATAATAATGGAATATAATTTTATATCATAACAACCAGATTACAAAAAATGTCAATAACACTGCAAAATAAATGGAAAACTATAGTACATCTCTTTTTATTTTAATAACGGTGCGTAGGTTATTAAATACTAATAAAAAAGTATACCAACAAAGTAACCAGATTAATGCTGTGAATTAACTAAGCTGGTCAATATTTTGATAATTTCGTCAATGATCTAGAAATTCATTTTGAAACATTGAATTACCAAACTATTTATCGTTAGTAGTAAGCTGTATAGGTTACTACTTATGACATTGTCGATAATTACTTGTTGGAATATGTAAATTTGAATTTGTTATAGTTTAATATTCAACACCAGCAATACCAAAAATACCGACGGATAACGTGAAAACATAACAATAGCAAAATCGAAGTGATTTATGAACAGTTTTGAATTTCCAATACACTTAATTTCCTTCAATGTATGCGTGACACACATATTTATAGGTTCATGCACTGTACTAATCAATAGACAAGATAAAAAGTATACATTAAGACAACATAATACATGGCATTCGATATTTTTGGTTACAGACAATTGTGATATTATATTTAGTTCTGTACTTAAGGATAAATTATTAATTATTATCATTTAGATGATGAAAAATGTCATATTTCAGGTTTCAATTATTTGAAACGTCAATGTTTATTTTTTTTTCAGACGTTCCAAACAAAAAAAAAGTTTTCAATATTATTTTTCATGAAATATAATCATTGTTATTTGAATTTTTGTATTAAAATCCTGATCTATGTTGTAAAAAAAGAACAAAAGTACTCTTCTATTTATTAACAATCTACCTATATTTGTTTATTTTAATACGTTTTTTTTTTTTTTTGTTTAATGAAGTAGTCTATAAAGGTTAGGTTAGAAATGTATATATTTAACTTGAATAGCTATGTTGACTATTTGTAAAACCAAATATATTTTCAATAATACTTGATAAAAATTAATATTAGCTAAACTTATATTTATTTAATATAATAAATGAAACGCGATTTATTTTATATTTATATTTTCATGTTGGCTAAGTTTATATAAAAACTATAACAACTCTTCGTAAATTTTGGAATATTATATTTAAGTTCCAGTATAACAAATCTATTAAAAGCCTATACATAAATAGAGAGATAAACGATTTAAAAAATCATTGTTGTAATTCAACTAAAATTATTTACTTTTTTTAAATTAATATAATACTATAGTTCATAGTTTCTGTAGTTTTGACAAATACTGAAATACCTTTCTAAATGCTATATTTTATAGTAACTAAAATTGATATGAATATTTACTAATATTTTATACATCTAAATAATAGATATTCATAATTTTCTATCATATAAAAATATAGATAAATATAAGTACATCATTTTTTTGAACTTAAACTCAGATTTCTTTTGACTAAATTATATGTTTATTATACTGATTTAGTTATTTGGTATTGTAACATTACTATTTTTAATTATTTATAATAAACATTTTAGATAGAATACTGAACGTTTTACGTACCTAATTAATACTACATATTCTGTAATAATAACTACTTGCAAAATGTAAAGTTACGAATAAGTGTTTTATTTTTATTTTTGAAGATTAAGCCTTAATTAAAAACTTCAAGTTATTAACTTATTCTATTATCTTATTTAGAACAAAAAAAAAAAATGTCAAATCAGTTAGTAGGTATTTAATGCTTATTATGAAAAAAAAAGCAAAATATATAGATATATATTCAGTACTCACATTTAGCTGATGAACGATCTTGTTATACGCCTTGTGCCATCGCATTCTTGCCAAGTTACTTTTCTCTTCTGGAGCCGTTTGTTCTGGAGGTCTAGTTTCTTCAACTGACAACTCTTTTTCGTCATCCAAGTCTAGTTGATCTTCATCCTCTTGGTCTTCAATGCTATCTTCTTCTTGTTGGTGAAGCTGTTTTTGTTGTATATGTTGTATGTGTTGTTGTTGTTGTTGTTGTATCTGTTGTTGTTGTTGATGTTGTTGTTGTTGTTGTTGTTGTTGTTGTATCTGTTGTTGTTGTTGTTGTTGCTGCTGCTGTTGTTGTTGTAACTGTTGCAGTTGATTTTGTTGCTGTTGTTGAGATAAAGAAGGTGGAAAATGTTTTATGGGACTGGAGAACATATCAACAGAACCGGTGGAAGAGGGAATTTCTGGTAATACCCTGGGTGATTCCGGTTCGTCATTGTGGTCCTCCGCTGGTAGTAATTCATCTTGATAACTATCTGTGGAATCCTGTTGCCTTAATGTATAACCAACAGAAGATGATGCATCTTCTTTAGGTTTATACTGTTCATAACTGTTTGTTTTCGACGGAGGTACTTCTTGCATCCATCGTCGGTTAGACGTACTTACTGATGACACAGCCGTTTCAAAAGATTCCTAACATTAAAAAAAAAAATGTTTAAAAATTAAGTAATAGATCTTTAAAATAATAATATTATCCATGTTGTTTTTAAATTTATCTATGAATAAGGATCCCTTAGTAAAATAAAAGCTATATTTTAAATAATTTTAAAACTTAAAAAGTATAATAATTTTACTAACTATACACAACATTTGAACCAAATTTTTAATATAAACATTTTTATTTTTAATACATTTGTATAAGTACAACTTCTAATTTTTATGTAAAAATATTAATAGAACACAGTAATATTATTAGTTATTTACCTATAAAATATGATAAAATAATCATTTTATTTATAGAAAAACATTTACTGAAAATATGTCTGGTAAATTAAAAATGAAACTTCCATTTCTAAATTAAAATTGTATATCTTAAGTAATGCATAATTTTATAAACTTCATAATGATGTAAAAATAATAATTGAATAATAACAGAATTAAAAATAATTAATTTACTTAACTATTCACAGTGATTACTTTGTTTTGAATAAGCAATATGCATACAATTTACATAATATTAATATTTCTAATATTAGTTTAAAGTTTAAATAATAGTTTATACTTGAACTGTGTACAATATTAAAATATTTTTTTTTATATTTTACAAGAACTTTATTTTTAAATCAATTTTCATTAATAACTTCAACAGTTTATTATAAAAAAATCAGGTTTAACTAATAATTATAAATATGTGCATCAAGAAATGATGTAAACCAATTATTTCAATACCAGATATAATATTTAATGAATTTAAAATAATAGAAATCAACTAAAGTGAAAACAAGTAATCTCAAACGTTTATTAATTCATGTTTTATGCATTTAATTATTCATTTCTACAATTGCTAATTATCTTTGTGATTTTACATTACTGAATTTCAATTACTTTGCGAGAGTTTTCCTGTTCAAACCAAAGCAATAAAAGAGCATATTTTCATTTCCGGATTTTCTGATTTACATACCCTTTCCATTAGATATTTCTGATAAATATTATATATTATTAAATTTTAATTTGTAAATAAAAAAAAAAAAAAATATTTCAGATTATAATCTTAATATGTATTATACACTATATCATTTTTTAAACAATATAACTTACTTTTGAATTAATATATAATTTAAATATAAAAATTCTGGGAAATCGATAATAATAGTATTTAGTTACTAAATACGTAAATAAATTTTATTATTTTAACATATTTAATTAATTATAAGAATTTCTAAAAACATTTAATTTGAAGTAGAATAGAAGTTAGAAAATTATAGATTAAAGAAAATAGAGATTGAATTCCATTATACCAATATAAAATAGTATGTTTAATGCATTATTTATCACACTTTAATATGTATAAATACATACTCTAAATATGTATTACATTTTTTTAGAACTTCCAATCCGAAATATTTTATAATGTTTGTAATATAAAAAAATTATATTAAAACTTGAAAGGAAATTATGGGTATATAACCAAAAATTGTGTTATATAATTATTATTTAAAAATATTTAAATTCTTATATTCTAGTTGTTAAACGTTTTAGGCTTATAGTGTTAACACTTATATATAGAACAAATTATATATTTGAATGATCCTACCAAATCATAAAATTATAAATCATAATAAAACTAACACATTCGTGATTTATACGAAACAGACTTACTATAACCACTTCATTCAGAATAAAAATGGTTGTAAACACTTAAAATAATATGATTTTAACAACACTTAATTTTTATTTTATATTCCAAAAAATTAAGAAGACTAATTTTTAAATTTATAATATAATATGGTTTTTTAATATATGTACATACCCTAAATTTAATATGACCTTAAATTTGGCTACTTATTTATATTAACAAGCCTTAAATTCAGTCATAGCAATTTGAGAATAGTTTAAAATAGTTTTTGTAAAAATATACAAAATAAATATTTAAATAATATTTAACCCATAAAAAAATTCCCTTTTCAAGTTTCAAATTTTAAGTAAAAAATATTTTCTGCATAATATAATGATCTTTAATTTCCTCATATTATTATATATATATATATATATGTGTGTTTAATATATACTTACTAAACAGTAAATTTTAAAAATTTTCAAATATTTCATAAAATTATATTATTTTTAAGATATTTCATAATATAGATTAACTTAATTTTTATTAAAAAACTATAAATAAAAAACATTTTATCATAATATTAAAATAAAATTATTGTTTTTTAGCTTAAAAAATATCAAAATACATTATTTAAAATTTAAAAAAAAATTTGATAGATAAATCAAGCAATACGTAAGTCATCTAGATTCAGAATATTTAGAATTACTGGACAAAAATTTTATGGACAAGAAAATATATACTAAAACAAATATGTATACTACCTATGTAATATATAACTTTTTTTTATACTAATTTATTTATTTAATATAAATAATTGAAGTAGCAAAAAATAAAAAATATAAAAATATAAATGAATAGGTAATTAAAACTTTCAATAAGTTTTTAGTCTACTCTTTGTTTAAAAGCTGTATATCATAAACAAATAGTAATCGTTTTTAATTTCTAACAACATTATTGTTATCATTTTTATTCATTTTTCTGACACATAAAAACTTAAATAGATCCAGTTAGATAAAAATACTAAGTATATCTGTAGTATATTTTAAAGAATGTACAAATTTTACAGGTACTTTTAAAATTGTAAACAAATGTAATCCTTTAAAATATTATACATCAAATGTTAAAACCACCAAATACATTTTTCAGAGCATATTATAAGTATTTATTGATTGTTTGAGAAAGACTAAAACATTTGTATATCAAAAAATATCTTTAAAATATTATTGGAATTTTAAAGTATAATATATAACAGTATTTATAATATTAAAATATTATATTTTCATTATATTTTCTATCAAAGTTATCAAAAATGATTGATCATAGAATATTGTTTACAGTCGTTTCATCAATATTTTAGTAATCTAATACATTAATAACAGAAAAATATATTTTTCAAATATATCGTGATAAAATATCACTATAAATTCTTTTGAAAATTATCGTTGGTTCTTGTAATAAAAGAGTCAATAAAGATTTATAAATTATGATAAATTACCTTCAACAAATATAAACTGTGATCATACGTATATTAAAATACCCAAATATATTTTAAAACTAACTATACTTAATAATTAATAAGATGAATTGATCACCTCTTTATGATCTTCTTGTGATTCTGCTGAATCGTTGTGTTGTTGAAAAAAACCTCTGGGATTTTCTAAATGCTTCACTGTTCTTTGATAAAATTTCATAAACGTATCCCTACGGTTAAATCCCTCGGTTTCTTCTTTTTTATCATTCATAATATCTCTTTGACTTTCATATTCGTTATTTTCGTTAGTTAAACTCATTGAATTGTTTTGTGCATATTGTTTTTCGTGTTGTAAGTTAATGCTATCATTATAATATCCATCGTCGTACTCTTCAAATTGATCTTTATTTATAGTTTCTGTATATGTATAATCTCCGTCTTTATGATCTAATGAACTAGATCTCTGATCAATGCTGGCTCTTCGCTGAATTTTTTGGTAAGATTGTGGCAATGAAGGCGATTGCTTGATACGAGATTGAGGTATTTGAGGTAAAATTTTTTTTGTACTCGATACCTGCTCGTTATAATAAGAATTTGAGTAATAATCCATATAAGGTGTCTTTTTAGTAGGTATTTCAGGAAGTTGTTTATGCCTTTGAGCCGGTACAGCTGGTGATGACATTTCGTAAGGAATTTCATTATAATGACGATCTTCATAACTTTGATTCGGTGAAAAATAAACCTAAAAAAAAAAATGTATATAATTATAAATAACAATAAATTAAACTAAAAATTATTATTATATTCTGATATTTTTATTTTTTTTTAATAAGAGATCTTATCAAATAACATAATATTAAAAATTAATAAATAATTTCAATGTAATACATTTATAAGTTAATAGTTTTAGATTTTGAACGGATTGATAAATATATTGATTTTATCATAATGTGTTTTTATTTATTTTTTTTTTTTTTTTGTGAATGAAATTGTGAAATGAATTGTTGATAAAATACTTAAATTATTTAAAATGGTAGTGATTTTAAATATCAAATTGGACCTATTTTATACTTTAACAACATCAAATTTAAAAATTTCCAGTACCTACTTATTTTTATAATCAAAAAAATATACAAATAATTAAAGAAAAATGAGAATTTTTACGCAAATACAATTTTCGATAAAATCACAAATTTTTACCAAATGTTAATATTTTATTTTATTTTTTTTATTAACAATGAAACAAAAGCAATTTTTTTTTAATATTTATTATTAAAGAATCTAGAAAATTTATATATGATCCAGTAAAAGTTACTCTAACATCCGTATAAAAATATAAAAAATATAAAGACAGTTAGAATATTGATGAATCTTGACAAAATCGCAAAAACTTCTAAACTATTTTGTAGTTGAAAATTCAAAATAAACGTTTTATTTTATATCAAACTTTTGAAAATTTTATGTAAGATTCTTCATAAGTATTTCATACTGAAACCATAAAATCTAAAAATATATAAAAGTAATTATTATTAATAGATATTTTAAGTTCTAATTTTTTTATTTCAATGATAAATAATGATATGTTAATTATTTTTATTTAATTTAAAAACATATTTTGTAGGAGCTTAAACTTTTATGTATTTTATATTATTATGAATTTTTCTACCACAATGATATATTTGATTTACTTTGAAATATTATTTATTTATATTTACTATAAATCTACTTTTTGATGTTTCACGGTATTTACAAAAAAAAATTAATAAGTTTTGGGTTTTATAAGTTGATAAAATATAATAAAAATATATGTTATAGTAATTAAGCACTAATAATATAATAAATTTAATATGTTTAGAAAAAAATTATATCAACTTACAATAATAATATAAAATAAAATTAATTATTTTAATAGTTATGTCAAAAAAACATATTATCACTTTGTTATACAGGCTGATAAACCGTTTCCGCTCAAAATCGTTTTTCATACACAATAATATATTATCATTAAATTTAAATTTAACACACATATAATAGTGATCCACTCGATGCTAAATATACATAAGAGCGGAACCGCACTATTTTTTTTATTTTTTTATTAAACATAAAATTACCTTGTTCTGTAATTAACTTAATGAAAAAATGATTTTTATCATCTTTTTATCAATATTAGTTATAATTTTTATAAACTATTTCATTATTAATAAAATTAAGTTATCTTTTTAATTTAAACATTTTAAACGATATAATATGTTCTTAATTAAAAATCAAGAAAAATAAATACAATTATCTATCTTTTTCAAAATTAATTAAATATTTGATTTTTTTTAAATAAATTATGTAAAAATTACCTACCAAAAAATCTATATTATAATATTTCATTATTGTTACCTTATAACTCCATTGTTTGTTATTTTTAAATTAAAAAATGTTATTAAAATATATTTATTTACATTAGATTTTCTAAATTAAATTAACATTTTTACAAAACATTGATTGTGGTTCTTATGTATTTTTTTATTTTAATAATTTCAATTAATAAATATTCGACAAATTATACTTTTCAAAATAGATCATAATATCTATAATGTATTTTCATTATAATAATTATTTAATTAAAACAAAAATATAATTTATTATTAAGAAAAAATACTTTATTAGACCTTAAAATTTTAAATAGTTTTTTTCCATCTATTTTTTAAATATTAATTTTATACATGTAGATACTAGATACCAAGTATATTAACAACCCATGAATTAGTTATTATTAAATGCTAATATTTAGGTAAGCTTTTGTTGAATGTACAATTGTTAAGTTATAATCAATATACCTGTAACCTATCTACCTCTATCCATCTGTAAATAAATATAATTGGATAAATATGTGTGAAGCGTATTTTTATTGGACACAAAAGTCAAAAATACAATTTACCATCACACCTTGCTCATTTTTTCTACCTCAAAAACTAACAATAAACACAAACCTATATTCAATTGCTTTTTTAGTAAATGTACAAAAAATAGTAGTTTTCCAGTTTCCAATAATATTTTTTATTGATTTTACTACCTCTTCGTTTTCTTCATCAACTTCTTGTTGAACGGGGTATGTAGTTTTTAGCTGTTGAGTGTCACTACTCGACCCAGGCGAATAGTAGTACTCTCCAACACCCCCACCATCCCATTGACTATCTTCTTCTTTTTGATCCGCATAACTATAACTACACATACAAAAATATATCATAAGTTTTACCTAAATTGATAAGCAACATTTGAAAGTTGTTAAACCTATTATCATAGTTGTACATTTCTTCGTTGGGTCCATCATTGTAATACTTTTCTGGTCCATATGGAATCACTTGTTCACAATTTCTAGAAAATAAAAATTATAATAGTATAAATTTATCAACCTAATTTAAGGTTGAGTATAATATATTATTACATTTTAAAAAAGAAATTAACAACAAGACAATATTTATATAATGATATATTAAAAGTTAAAAAATATAATATTATACTTAATATTATTGTAATATATTTTAGCTAATGATATCTCAAATTCTAAGGCTAGATGATAAAATAAAAAATATCTTATTATATAAAATATATTAATTTTATTAGATAGGTAATAATAGAATTATTGAATATTTTGTTTAAAAAAAAGTATTTCATTCTGGTTTTAAATTTTATGCCTATAATTTAAGTTGATTTTTGGGCAGAATATTTTAAAATTTATAAATTTAACTTATGGCTTTCAAATTAAACAGTTCTTAAGTTTTTAGGTTCTGACTCAAATAATATTTATTTCATATATATTTTAGATTATCATTATTCACTCTGATAGTACATAACAACAAAAAAGTATTGTCTTTTAATATTTAAAATTTAAATTATAGATAACCATTTAAAACTTAAAAATCAATACTTTTTTTATTAATATTAAAATATTTTAAATAATATGCGTGTTTTAATTGTATATATTAATAAAATAACAAATAATTCCCAATAGATAAAAGTGTTATTCTTTTAAAAAAATGAATTCATAAAAATAGTTAGATGACTCACTGTTTATTGTCATAAGGTTCAAATTGGTCCCTATTATCATAATATTCTTCGTAGTAAGTCGGTCGGTACAAAGCCGATTGTCTTTCCAAGCTTGACCTCCGGTCTAAAAATATTAAAAATAAAGCACCTAATATATAATAAAAATAATAAAATTGAAACCTACTTTTGTTTGCCTTTCGTTGGTGGTATTTAGAAATATGTTTTTTACAAGAATGTCTGGAAGAAGTGGAAAATTGTTCCTGGTCAAGGAATGTTGTTGAAGACCCTTCATCATACCATTCACTGGTTCCTATTTTATAGTCGTTTTTTCGCCTGCGCATTATTGTTATTCATCATTAATAAAATATAATGAACAACATCCATAGACCATTTAATTATATTACCTTTTGTGGTCTTTATAATTGTTTGGCCTACTATTATAATATAGATCATCCTCTGGAACCCTCCTTTCTTCATACCTTTGAGAGTCATATAGATGTTGACTACCCACTGAGCCTTCTAAAATTATGAAAAAATATATATATAAATAATTATTTTCAATTTAAAAATTTGACAGTTTTTTTATTATGTATTATAAAAATATAATTCAATATTATATTTAATAATTTTATTTCAAATAATTTTTTTATGAATAAGGCTATTCTAACTAATATAATGTATACTCGTAGAAATGCTTTTACGAAAATTTCTACTCAACTGCGTTTAACAATACTCAATATTATGATGTGAGATTTTATATGAGCAGATGTTTAAATAAATAAATTTGTTTAAAATTATATGAGTTATAAATCAGGTCTATTATCGAGAGAATGCAAAATTTAAGTGATAATAATAATATAAGTTTATAAACTAGATTAGCAGACTGATAAAAAATATTTGTTATGATTATATAAAATATAAATTCAAAGTTTTCATTTAAAATTTAACAAAGATTGGACGAACATAAGATTATTATATTTTCTTTAGAAGAAATATAAATAAAATACTTTGAACATTTATGAAACTAGTTAAGAACTATAATAAAATTTAAATATACGATGAATAAATATGAGAAAACTGGACGTTTACCGATAACAATAATACATTTTGTTTAAACTTAAAGCTAAATTATTTTCTAAAGTACGTCTTTTGATAAATATTTTCTTGAACAAAAAAAAAAATTAAATAACGTTTATACACTATAACTCTAAAAAAATATATCATATTCGTTAAATTGTATTATTTATTTCCTACATTTAATTATAATGAATAAATATTAATTTCCTGTGTTTTCCAATTTTTTCAAAGTTTAATTTTTGATAAATATTGATTAATTATTTTTGATTCACGTTAAAAAAAATAGTACGACAAATTTTTGTTTAAATTACTTGTATTTGGATGATCTGGACTACTACAAGGACTCATTTCTAATTGATCAGCAAGATTTCTAAATTGTGAGGCAGAGGAATTCGCTTGTTGCCGACATATTGGATAATTAAAATCACTTGTATAATCACTATCTTCTGAATTGCCTGCAGCTAAATTAATAAAATATTAGGCTGTGCATTTTGTTTGTTATAAATGTAATAATACTTACACTGCCCATAATATTGAAATTGTGCCGAAACATCTTCTGATCTTGAGTCCTGTTCGAAAGTATTTAGGATTTCGAATTTTTTCTGGTAGTCCACGATATCACAGATTTCGTCATTGTCTATACACAATAAAGCTTTACCTATTATTTATATTATTATTTTGTGTGAAATTTTACCCAATATCTAAAGAAATGACCCATGAGGGACAACATATTAAAAAACTTTTTAACATTTTTTTTCTGTTTTACTCCCAAAACCAAAATATTAGCTGTCACAACTAATATTCATTAAATTTGGGTATCGATAAGGTTTCCAATCAAATTTATCAAAACTTATTTACACGCGTAGAAAAAAAGGTGGATTCATATCCAAAATCCCTTGAGTTTGCTTCCTTGGCACATATGATGGAATTGACAAGAACAGGTACGACCTTATTTATCATAGGATAAAAAAAAACTTTCTAACTAGCCATCAAGGTTTATTTTACTGCAGTAGATCGCAATAATAGAACAACTCTTTAAAAGCAAACATTTTGATGGATCGACGTGTACTAAAAAAATAGTTTAAGTTATCTTAACCTATTCACCAGCCCATCCAATATTAATGCGAGAATAAAATGATATAATGTTATATAAATTCATACGTATAAATCAATTTTAAATTATTCAAATACCAATTGGTATTTTTTTAATTTAAAAATAAAAACAAAAAAATAGTTTTGTTGTATATTAGGTAGTTAGTTGTTTACCTCGCATTAAGTTAGGTCGTTGTAATTTTTAAGATAAATTTTAGTTCTATGATAAATCATTGTATATAATAAAAAATGATTCTGAGCGGAGATCAACGTATGTTTTTAAAAATATTTTTTTATATACTTATACTGTACTATTGGTAATTTATTTTTCTATTAAAGATGTGGTTTATTATTTTGTATTATTTAATATTTTATTAATTATTTTATTTGTTTAGTTTTTATAAATAATTAGATTTATACAACATAAATAATTCTATCTGTAAATTCTATGTACATATTATATCAGCTAAATATTTTTGTATTTATGTGTTTAAATAAAAAAAAGTAATCTATAGTATTAAAATTATTGATAAAATAATAACAACTGCAATATGTACTGTGTAGTATAAAAATTAAAAAATTCTGTGTACACTAAATACTTTTTTCCGAAATAGTAAATCTACTCGCTGTAGATTACCAAATGTATAGTACTATTTTACAGCCAAATTACAAATATTGTATTATATATGTACAATATTTACAAAAGTATTATGTATTTAAGAAGTTGTCAATTCCATAATTCAAAAATAAAAATATCGTATATATTCTAAGTATTAGCAAATTTCAATGAATAATAACATATCTATAAATATTATGGTACTTAAACAAACATATTATATCTAAATATAAAAACTAAAATAAACACTTACATTTTATAAATTGTACCAAGTTTAAAAAAAAAATAGAAATTTGAAATTGAAGATTAGCCAACACAAAGTTTAACTGTTTAGAATTTTGGCCAATATCATTTATTAATACACGATGTTATACTATATATTTTATGTCATAGTATTCAAAGAATGGTAGGTACCATAACGTTACATTATTATTATAATTATATGACGTGCTAAGGATAATAAAATAAAATCCATGAAACTAGAAGCCATTTAGAATAAGCATTTTGGTATAATGTACTTTTTTTGCAAAAGTCGCGTGAACTTTTCGCGATCCCCGTTTTTACATCCCCACACAGTGCACGTGTATATAAAATAATATTTACGTGTGTGCAAAGACGTGCGATGGATTAACAATTGTTTCTGATCCAACGACGCCTGACAATCGATAAATGTACCACAAGACATTTGTAACAGTGAAATTGTGTGGTTCTATAATATATACATATGCACCTATATATTATATGTGTCTAAGCATAAAATAAGTTTTATTCATTGTATATATGCACTGAAAGATAATATGTGAAACAAGAAGAATGAAGTATATAGTATATGTTATGTTATATAATATAGAACAATATGTATACAATAGCAATACTCATAAAATATAGATGATATGTTGTTATAGTCAATAGGATTAAAATTCAAGCGACAGAACTACAATGTGTGTATGTATATGTGTGTGTGTGTGTGTGTGTATGTCTATATTGTTTTGTGTACAATTAATACTTTATATTGGTCAATACAGTAGTGTTTTGATAACCAATATATTGATGTATATAGGTACTTTAAGTGCACATCGTTCAAAAGCATTGATCGTCTCGAGGAAATATAAGTGATTAGAGGAACAGGTCTAAGTTAAATAAATTTGATCCAAATGCAAGGAGAGGTGATGTTCGATAATACGGGGAAGAAAAATTATATTTAAAGCGACATTACCCCAGCAAAATGTTTTAAATTAAAAATAATATCATACCGATTGGAATATTATGTAAATTTGAATAAAATGATATTTACAATGTAATAAATGATCCAGTCCTGGGTCATTGATAAAAACACACAAAACATAAATATAAAATAATAATAAAAGAAGATGTATTGAAGAAAGAGCATTGAATTGGGTTCGAGAAGAATGAAAGATTCGAAAAAACAAAAGTTAACTCATACAAAGTCAAATGGGTGCTGTAATTTCCATAATAGTTATTACTATCGTTATTATTTAAAAATAGTGTACTAAATAAATGTTTGTTTATAAAATAATTTAAATACTTTCTTATTAACCTCTACAAATGATAAAACGTAATTGAAATAAAATAAAATAAACCATTTATATTAAACTTAAAGTAAAATACAAATCAATACTTTTTATTTTCTTATTAAAATAACAGTAAAAATAAATTTTAATTACAAATTATTGTAGTCAACAAAATAATAAGTATTTATCTGTGTCAATACATTATTTATAACTTAGTAAACAGTTAGTTACTAATGATTATTTTACAATAAATCACGATATTTTCCATTCCATTTTTAAACAAAAAAATTCTAATTTTATTAAATTTAAATGTTATTTAATAATAAAAACGACAATTTTTAATAAAATCAAATTAAAATATCTTAAGAAATAAATTAAATTTATGTCATTTTAAGTCCTCGTGATTGATATTTGGCCAAAATATTTTCTACGTAATTTTAAAATTATATAATAAAATAACTTTAATATTCATATGATTTATAGAAAAATATTTTATATTTTTAATTACATGTCGTTCTTTAATTAATTTTAGCATCACAAACTAAATAAGTCTTATTTAAGGATAAATTAATTAATAAAAATTAAATGTATATAGAAATGAATAAATACGAATAAGTTTATACATCTATTTTTTTTTTTATTTAATAATAACTTCGAGTACGTTTTATTCAATATTAAAAACCTTGTTTTCACTGACGCATTCTTTTAATAAAATTTTTGAATCTTATTTTTGTTTATTTTATAAGAAAAAAACACCTAATAGTTATATTTTATAATACAGTTACGTTTTTATCAACTTTATAGCTGTTAACATAAAACTATTACCTACATAATTTACAATAAATTATAATTTAAATTTATTTGAACGCCCTCGCGATATTTGATAATTCAGGTTATCTTTTACCAGGAATGTAATTAATTAATTTACATAAATAGGAAATCGCAATACCCATTTGATTTCATAAAGGTATAATGTTAGAGAAGAACCATGCTTTCGATAAAGCCCAGACAGACGTGCGAAACGTTTAAGTGTTCGTATATTTCATTATTATACCTCCTGATGCACTGGCGCTCGGCGGAGCCGTGTTGGAATTATCCAGCTCTCCTAAGATTTCTTTCCAACCAGTCGGTGGATCGTAAGGGCCTAAAATTTGAAAATCCATCATGATATCGCACATGATTTTATATTTTTAAAGACTCCATGTCGTTTATCTTGGAATAATAACTCATAAACATTTCCCAATTAGCTTTATTTTAATATGGTAACATGGGTTCGGTTTGAAAAAAAAAAATATTCTTATTGTACACTTACCAAAAGGTAGTTCGAACCTAGCATCAATCAAAAGATAATGTCCTGTAGGACACCTGGTACCAGTCACTACACCGTCGCTCATTTCAAGTTCAGCATCTAGTGATACCCAATCTCCTTCACCATCCTGTACAGTAAATAAAATATGTTTTAATTATTAATTTTGTGAAAAATAATATAATAATACCTAGATTATAATTATTATCTTTTAATATATAATATTATAATACAACGCATATCTCATAAAGTTTCATAAGTTATTCAAATAAAATAATACTTTTGAATTAAAAAAAAAAATATGATATCTGTAGTCACTAGTCGTGTAGTCGTAAATAATTTAGCTATTATTGCATTATCGATCTCTATAAACAAGATAACAGCACAACTAACCACATCACTCTAAAATGAACATGAATAACTATTATTTAAATTATATAATTTTACCAAATGTCCATTATTTAAAATGTTGAAATATTAAAAAAAAAAACTATATCTTTAAAACAATTAATCAAATAAATATTTATGTGAATTTACAATATTTATGAAATTGTATAACTTATATATAACTTTTTTTAAGCCATACCACATAACTGTATCATGTCTGTCTCTATTATAATACGTGGGTAGTACAATTACAAGTAAATGATAATATCGCCATAAAAACTATTTTTTGTTATATATTAAATTATTTTACTCATAAATTTAAAATTAAACTATAGGTACATATATTATAATTGATATTGAAAGTTTATAAATAACGAAATAACTTCAGAACAAACTATGTATTGCTTTTTTATTAAAAGCGTATAAGATATGACTAGTTTACATAATAAACCTATTTAAATCTAAATTGTAATTTTCTCTGTAATATATCTGAATTCTGAACATCGATGTTCGTGACAACGCACAAATAGCATATTAATTTCACCCTAATAACCAATTAGATCAATAAGCAAATTATATAAGTGAAAATAATTAAATAACATGTCTAACCATCAAAACATAAGTATTTCGACTATATGAAATAATATAATACATTTATACATATAACATACACAAAATATTACATCTACGTAACAAAATATCATATATTTATATATCATTTTTTTATATCCTCTAACTACAATAGAATAAGTCTCAAATAATATTTTATTTAGTAAGACGTTTTTCATTAAATATGTGATTTATTAGGTACATAAAATTATAGACTTTGATCGATTTCTTTGAGTTTCTGAATAGTGCACATAGAATTAAAGAGAAATGTCATATACACAACCGTTTGATCAACTATTTTTCAAGTTTTTGAGTAACTAGATTTCTATTACTTTAATGATTAATTACCTCGTTGGAGTAGCGCACTGTTGGTAAGCTGACCATGTGGTATCCTATTGCGTAGTCCAAGAGAAACCCTCTCCGCCACACTTCCACCAACAAACCCGAATTAACGTCGTTTGTCTCGCTATACAAATTAGATATCATTTAATAATCAAAATATATTAAATCATTATACAAGAATAGGTTAATAAAAAACACAAGGTTCAAGGTTCAGATTTTAGAAAAAACAATTTACCAATTTTCAATAAAGCCTTTTTAAACAAAATTTAAGATTTGTGATTGTTTATTTCATAAAAATATGTTATAGACTTTTAAAAAAATATTTTGATTGGTTCAAAATTTAAAAAAAAATTAAGCATATAATATATAGAGTTATAATATGATATTCGTGTATACTTCTAATATATTTAATAAAAATATATTAAATGGATAATATATCATAGAACATAATAAATCCTACTTTGAAACGTTAAATACAACTTAACCATTGATTTAATTATAATATTTTCATGATAAATCATAATGATATTATTAATTTTATTCACTTGTATAAGCATTATTATGATCTAAAATCTTTACTAATAATAATGAATTAATGAGGAAAAATTAATCTTACAATAGAAAGTCCTGTTGCCAACAAGGATTTGCTCCTTTGACCGTGACGGTAGTACACTTAACGTTTTGAAGTTTTAACGTGGCATATGTACTGAATTGTGGCGCTAAAACAAACCAAATCTATATTTTTATTTGTCCAATATAATAATATTATTATTTAAAATCAAACATAAAGATACTTAATGTACATACAACACATTTGTGTAGCAAAATTGCCTATACATAACGCCGTGTTACTAATTTTTTAAAAAATTATTTAAATAAAAATAACTAAATAACTAATTAATAATATTTCATTTAATTAAAAAAAAAAAACTAAGCAGTAAGACCAATATATTTTATTCTTTCAGTATTAAATTTATATTTTTAATTTGTCATAAACATAAATTTACATTTTACAATAAAATAGAAAAAAGAAAGAAAAAAAAACAAAATAATGTTTACATGTGCTATTCAGCAAAGTTTTAAGTTAGTACGAACAATTTGACCAATTAATAGCTAACATATGAAGCGTTAAGTAAACAAAAAAAAAAAAAAAAAAACATAAACGATCGTATATCTGAACCTAAATTTTCAAACTTTCAAAACTGTCAAGTCATCAGTCTCTTTGTGTCCACAAAAAAACCCATAACAACGTTGTGATAATAGTACAATAAAATTATGTCGAGATGAAAAAAAATGATATTCATAGTACTCACCTTGGTCTCCAACATAACGAGCCATTTTTACTGAAAAAAAAATAGTAATGAAAAACAATTATTTCAAAAACATATCTAAAACAGTTTAAAACTGTAAAGCATACATCTAACTGTTAACTTAGTTTCTTTAGAATAATAAAACGGTGTATCACTGATTATAATATAAAGATTTTAAAATTTTAATTTATACGTAGTTTTAGGTTGAATTTAAAATGATAACTACACTATAGGATGGTTGAGGGATTATCGTTTCTAAGAATAGCTAGACAAGGGTTAAGGTTTAATTGACTGAACTAAAACGAAATAAGTTTGAAAAACATTCTGTACGTTACCTTTAACGTTGAGGAGGGACATTTTTGTGTCAGCTACGATTTTTTCTGATTAATAACTAAAACCTAAAATAAAAGAAAAAAACAAGTTTATATTAATTTGTTATATTCATATATACATATATCATACATTATATTATAATAAACGTGTTTTTTTTTTTTTTTTGAATTTCTACTATATTTATAACAGTTAAAAATATGAAAAAATACGCAAAAAGTATTAGATTCTTAAAAACCATTAAAACTTTAAAACATTTGAAAGTAGTTGGACAAAATTAAAAGTAATCCCTAACTTAACTTTAAACCTTTGGAGATTTTTCGGCTTCAAATAAGAACTTCTTTACATTTTTTCCAAGTATTTGTTATGAGATTAATTTTTCATATAATATAAGCAAAATTAATTATCTGTGTTCCGGAAAAATTTAATTTTGACAACTTGTATTTACAGTAAATGAGTTTTCCTTTCTAAATTACCATAGAAAATATATTATGTATATTGTACAACGTAGAGTATTCTAGTCTTTCTAATTTCATAATCCATTACCGGTTCAAACATAATATGACATATTTCATTAAATTCAAACCATATTTTATAATTATAAATTGTATAAAGTAGACAAAAAATGTCGACTTGGCAACGCACATAAAAATTCATCAGTTATTAGTTATAATTTACAGCGTATTTAATTACTTTGTTAACACACATAGGTATTTTATTATTAATTAAAATGTCTTCAAAATTATATCATTAGATAATATAAAATATAATGTATTGTATTCAAATAACGCGTTATATTTATTATAATTTTTCAAATAGTATAATTAAAAAAATATTACTAGTTCTTAATCTAGTCAAAGTTAATATTGGTAAATTAGTTATACACAATAGAGTAAAAGCAGGGTTATATGAATAATTTCATAACACAAATTTACTATTCAATACTTTTAATTAACAATTCAAGTATTCGAGTACATCAATATAAAATACTAATAAAAAATAAAGTCAAATCATTTGTTAATATATTTACTGAATTTTTTGGTTTTACATTTTGAATGTCATTCTAATGTTAGATTTATATTATATAGCAAATAACTATTATATTCAAATGACTAAACATTGAAAGTGTCAAAGCTATCTCATTTGAAGGGTTAAGACCATAAAGAGTTGAATAGAATGAAGTTTGATTTTCAGTGTAACAACAACCACAAAAACTGTTTTTTATTTGAACCCGTACAAATGTGAAGTAATATTTTATAATATGAATCTCTCATTCTACTTAAAATATTAGTAAATGTAATATTAAGATGTTTAGTTCATGGATCACAATATAAATACAAATATAATTCAAGATATATAGTTGCGCATTATTTAAGTTTTTAAAGGAATATGTAAACATACTAATTTTGAAAAATAACACTAAATTGTCGGCATCAGTTTTATAAAAATTTTATTGCGTTATGTTTATAATTAGGTAACAAATGGAACGCTCCAAAAATACCCAAAATTATTTTTTCTATTAAAAGAAAAATTTAAAGTTGATGCTATAATTTTTAAATTATTTATAAAATCTTCATAATACTATATAATTTATTAAGTAAATTAAACAATTGAAATAACTATTAAATAATACTGGCCAAATAACAATGATGCTCCGTAGTTATAAATGATAATAGTGTTTATTAATTATAATACTATAATTCATAATATACAAGTTTAAACTATCTAATTAAGAACGACATTGAATAAAATTTTCAATAATTTATAAACATATTTTTTTTATTATAATGATTACGAACTCGTGTAAATAGCAATTAAATAAAATCTCACTAAACAAGTGACGTTTAAATAAACAAAACGTGTACCAACGTATTTATTTATCACACCACAACAAAAAACCATGCGATTATTATATTTAAAACGCCATTGATATAATGACGTGATTTCCGTGGTTTAAATGGGAATATATTTAGGGAAGACATAAATACCAACAAATTATAAGTGTCTCATGCCATAATTTTTAAATAAATATCATAAATACCTATTTTTTTAGTATTAGAATAAATATTTAAATAATTTTCTTCGGGAGAAACAGAGTATCTATAAACAGTGCTTTTTGCACAATAACTTATTATTAATAGGTAAAGAGGATATACTACAGTTGCATATATATATATATATTAAAATAGCATTATACAAGTAAAGGAAATAGCCTATTGGGGATACTTTAGTTCTTCATCAAAAATACTAATGTGATAATAATGTTTTTCCAAAAAATCTTAATACTTAATTAATATTTATATCTTAAAAATAACTCTAAATAACCAAACAAATAAAATAATATTAATTGTATTATTGTGAAAATTTAAAATATTCGTAATAATAATACCTATTTAATTTAATATATAATTTAACTACCAAAACACTTTCAAACAACCTAGGTACCTATCTCATTTTAAGTATGATGCTTATAATAGTGTTACGATTCATAACTATATACCCACACAGCGTACAGACTACAAACTAATGCATACATAGGTACTTTTAAAACACAACTTTGGTAATTATTTTTTTAAACTTAATAGGAATTAGTGATATATGTATAATTTTGTAGTATAAAATAATGTATAATATAAATAAAATACAATTATTAAATTATGAATTGTGATAACATTAAGATCTATGAACTATATAATTATATCAGTGATAATCAATGATGGATTAATTTCATGATACTATAAAATGTTTCTCAGAAAATGATAATTGATAATACTATGTCTAATGTATTATTTGTGCTTTTAACTGTTCCCTCTCCCCTACATTTTTGGGATTAAAACTAGACAGAGCACACAATCATAACTATAATAAGAAGCAGGACTCGATCCCCACTTTAACCATTGCTTAATCTACAAATCATATACCTTCTACACATGCTTAGTTCTCGATAAAATATTATTTATATATTGTATACAATATAATATTATAATATATTTGTTGTTGTTGGTAGTTCATAGTTAATGAACGGCAATAAATTTCGAAGCTATTATTTATTTATTTTTGTTATTACTGTCCCTATACGACAGTATCGTTATTCTTTGTGTAATGTTAAATAAGCTGCTTCGTCGGATACGCCGAGTCTACCGCACGGAACACGAGCAATACTGTCATACCGACTGCACCTCTACAGCCTACGAGATAGCGAGGAGGTTGGTTGTAGGTGGAGAACAGACGAGTAATTTCAAAACCATAGAATACACGGCAGAGCGGCACAGAAGTCAGCCGTTTAGTGTACCTAATAATTTTAATGCGAATATTTGGTATATAATATTACACGAACGTCGTCGTAACACGTTTGCAGCCCGATCCAGTTGATAAGACCTCGCCACCGACGCATCGCATGCCAGCCAACCGACCACGTTTGACTACCGTTGATAAGTACAGTATAAATAAAACACGTGCGATTACCGTGTCATACATTCATACACACACACACACACACACACACACACACATTCACTACCCTTAACGTGTAAGCGTGTATACTGCACTCCACCTGCACTGCATGTTATAATAATAATAATAATAATAATAATAAAAATAAAAACACGAGTGAACTTTGCTAGCTACGTTTCATATAAAACCGTGTAACGGCGGAGTTCAAGCACTGCGCGAACGCATAAACGATTTTTGCGCGTCACGCGAAAATTAAGATATATTTGGTGTGGGTAAGGGTCGCAACGCGTTGAATGCGAAATCGGTATTATATATACGATAGAGGTTTATAATATATTATAGGCGTGCGTGTACGCTTGTGCACGTATTTATGTGTGTGTGTGTGAATATAGCTTCAGGTAGGTAAGTATATTATACGGTATACGTATACATAGCGGGAAAAGGTCGAGAAAAAATGAATAAATGAGTGAGCGAAATCGTACGTATTCGTTTGTTACACATATTATTTTATACGCGCGTGGTACCTCCTGTACAACGGACTCGCGACAGCCGCGAAAACAAAAATGAAAAAATCAACGGCCGATGACACGCGAGCGTGTAACCGGTCACGGACGGACGCACGGTTCCGTACATGTCGTAATAACACGCCATCCCGCGCACGTCGAGACCTCCGTGCTATACGCATTAATATACGTCGTGTACCTATAGGCTATAAACATATGCAGAGCCATACGAGTACGATAACATTATTGTACAAACATTATTATATTAAACACGGCCGATAGAACCGCCACTGTGTTTTTTAATGACACGTAATGTGTGTGCACGCGGCCGACCGACGTGTGTGCGCGCGTAAACACCAATCGATCGTTCTGCGACCGGTGCGCGGTGGCACATACGCCATAGATAACGTAAACGTCGCGAATGTACCTTTTGCGTACTGCCATAATTCGTGTATTAGCATATTAATGTTGTATGTCAAATCGCTTATTATTACAACAATAGCAGTTAATATGCAATGTAATACACTAATACGCAAGCGTATGTACCGTACCTACCTACCGCAATGACGTATAATAATAATAATAATATGTAAACGCAGTATAGAACGGGAAAGATAATAGGCACTGGGAGCTATAATTCGCTAAAAAATGTTGATTTACTATTAGGATAGTAAATACTATTTAGGATACGATTATTGTGTATAAAAAATGTTTTAAAAATTCAGTCAAGATTCGTGTACAATTAAACTAGTTAAAGGTTAAAATATGCAAATAATCGTCTATCCAGTTTTACCTCATACCTGTGGCAAGACACTCCACAAATATTACTCAATTTGCACGCTTATTAATCGTTGATACACATTTATGCGATTTAATTGATCAACTTGAAATAATATTTATTGAAATAACTTGTATACTCACAATATGTTTATAGATACTCGTATTTATAGGGATAAAATGCTAAAAAAGATATTATTTTTTATTATTATTATTATTATTATTATTATGTATTAAGAAAATTGTATTACATCATGACTTTACGATTGAACGAGTTAGGTGTCCAATGACACTACTTTAACTTGAATGATTTTTGTTTTGTTAGCTTGTTTTTA